ACACACACACACACACACACACACACACACACACACACACACACACACACACACACACACACACACACACACAAACACACACGTGGGGTTATGTCATGACCTAACGAGCTCAGCGGGGCCAGAGCTGCTGGTTTCAGGGTAACAAACAGGAAGTGTCTCAGACTCTTTATTCTCTCTCTTTAAGGAGCCTGTTATGATTTATTTKATCTTGAGCACAAATAAAAGTTTAATTTGTTGAGTTTAGGTGCTTCAGCTCTTTTCTTAATTTAAAGTAATTCAAAGACAAACTGTTGTGTTCCTCTGCTGCAGGACATGATGTATCTCTGCATCTCTGCTGCTGACCACTCAAAGCAGAATCTGTGAGTAAAATCTGATGAACGTAAAGACTCGGTTCGTGTGCAGAATGACTTAACGGATGTTTAGTTTTGATCCTGGTTTCTGTGATCCTCCACACCAGGATCCAGTACTTCAGGGAGAGCTTCGTGTTCATCCACGAGTCCCGGCTGAAAGGAGAGGGCTGCCTGGTCCACTGGTGAGGAGCTCTTCCTGTTTTTTTTTTTAAATATCACAACCTGAAGGAATATTAGTCTTAAAAAAGGAGGTTTTTGGTTGAAATTAGAAACACTTTTGAAGAGTGAAGGTTGAGAGGTTGTAGCTGTTTTGGAACAACGTTGAAAATGATGCTCAGAGTAAATGTTAGGGATGACTCTCAGCTACTATCAGACCAGATATTAGCTCAATAGGTGTAAAATTGACTGAGTTGTGGCATTTATTTTTTTTTGTTGTTTTGTTTTTGTGGCAGCCATCTTGAAATGGGTAGAATTACCCCGTTGGAAACACATGAACAAACAGACAAACACACCGGCACGGCCAAAATCATTAATGACCCCTCAAACCTTTTGGTGGCAGGTATGAAGGCAAAATGCAAAGAAATGAGTTCATTGGATGAACCCAGTTCTTATTTTCAACCACACTAAACAAGCATTTAGTTTGAAGCTGTCCTTGGAAATATCCCCACCTTTCATCTCCTGCATCAAACAACAAAATCAGACACCAACATGAGAAAAATGGAGTTTCACTTCTTTGAACAGTAAAGGTGAAAACAAAATTTACTAACAGTGAGGGTCTTCTCCGTCAGCGTGGCCGGGGCGTCCCGCAGCGTGACCTTGGTGGTGGCGTACATCATGACTGTGACGGGGCGAGGCTGGGTCGAGGCTCTGGCCGCCGTCAGGTCGGCGAGGCCATGCGCCGGACCAAACCTGGGCTTCCTGCGGCAGCTGGAGGAGTTTGAAAACTTTGAACTTGCACAAGTAAGTCAGTACTAAAAGCTACATTTATATGATGGTTTTGTTTTTAAGCTAACTTTTTTGGGGGTCCATTGCTGTGGACCATTCATACACAAACAGTTTGAGCGTCTTGTTTGGGTTATTGCAGACAAATTAGTTTTTGTAATGTCTACAGTGCATAGTATTTGGAAATATCTCAATGCAGAAAGGTCAGAGTCTTGATTGGATGACGTTCAAGAGTCTCTGTGAGAGGAACCCTCAAACTGGTGACCGTTATAGCAACATGGAAACCTTGGAAAGTCTTTGTCACTCAACACGTCTGAATCTTGTAACCTGAAACTGGATTAAGAAAGGACAAAAGAACACTGCAACTCTGGACCCACAGTTAGATGCAGGAAGATGGATTTTCTTAGCGTTGCATATGTTTAAATCCCATGAGCACTAGCATGAGATCATTGTTATTCTACAGATCTGAAATTAACAGCATCCTGTATTTATTATTGTACGTATTTAGGCCAAACAACAAAATCTGATGATGCTCGGACTGTCATAAATCTTCCATCTGCCTTTTTTCCTCAGTACCGAGCCTGGTGGACAGAACGATACGGGAAGAACTCATTCAACGACGAAGAGGAAGTTCAGAATCTTTTAACTCATAAATCTGCAACAAACAGCATCTGTCCAGAGCTGGAGACAAGTGGGACATGAAGAGAACAGCCTTGCAGGGAATCATAGACATCAGCTTGGCTCATTAATGATCAGAGTATGAAAAAGTCTGCAACACTAACTCTCTAGTCTGTATTGAAGTATATGTCCCTCTATATCAAAGTATTACACTAAATATCAACCTCTACACTGAGCTGCACATTTCTGTTCAGAGATACAACTCTCTACTGACACCTGGATGGAAATATAACCCTCTGCATTAAGGTATGATTGTTGGTATGGAGGTCTAATTCTGTATTGAGGTATAACTGTATGAAGGTCTAATCCCCTGTATCAAGGTATAACCTTCTGTATCGAGGTATAACACCCTGTATCAAGGTATAAGCCCCTGTATCGAGGTATTACCCTCTGTATTGAGGTATAACTCTTTGTATGGAGGTCTAACCCTCTGTATCAAGGTAAAACCCTCTATATTGAGGTAAAACTCTTTGTATGGAGGTTTAACTCTCTGTATTGAGATATACCTCTCTGTATCAAAGTATAACCCTCTGTTTTGAGGTATAACCCTCTGTAGTGAGGTATTACCCTCTGTGGTGAGGTATTACCCTCTGTGGTGAGGTATTACCCTCTGTGGTGAGGTACAACTCTCTGTATCAAGGTATAACTTTCTGTATTAAGATTAAAGTCTTTGTATGGAGGTATAACCCCCTGTTTCAAAGTGCAACCCTATTTATTGAGGTATAACCCCCTGTGTAAAGTTACTGTATAACCCTCTGTATTGAAGTATAACTCTCTGTATTGAGGGATAACCTCTGTATTGAAGTATAACTCTTTGTATGAAGGCATAACTCTCGAATTGAGGTATAACCCCCTGTATTGAGGTATAACCCCCTGTTTTTAGGTATAACTCTCTGTATTGAGGGATAACCCCCTGTTTTTAGGTATAACTCTCTATATTGAGGTATAACCCCCTGTTTTTAGGTATAACTCTCTATATTGAGGTATAACCCCCTGTATTAAGGTATAACTCTCTTTAATGAGGTATAACTCTCTGTATTAAGATAAAACCCTCTGTATTAAGGTATAACTCTCTGTAACGAGGTATAACCCTAACTCTCTGTATTGAGGAATAACCCCCTGTATTTAGGTATAACCCTCTGTATTTAGGTATAACTCACTGTATTGAGGTATAACCCCCTGTATTTAGGTATAACTCTCTGTATTGAGTCATAACCCCCTGTATTTAGGTATAACTCTCTGTATTGAGGTATAACCCTCTGTATTTAGGTATAACTCTCTGTATTGAGTTATAACCCTCTGTATTTAGGTATAACTCTCTGTATTGAGGTATAACCCTCTGTATTTAGGTATAACTCTCTGTATTGAGCTATAACCCCTGTATTTAGGTATAACTCTCTGTATTGAGGTATAACCCCCTGTATTTAGGTATAACTCTCTGTATTGAGCTATAACCCCTGTATTTAGGTATAACTCTCTGTATTAAGGTATAACTCTCTGTATTAAGGTATAACTCTCTGTAACGAGGTATAAACCTAACTCTGTGTATTGAGGTATAACCCTAACTCTCTGTAACGAGGTATAACCTCCTAGGTATAACTCTCTGTAACGAGGTATAACCCTAACTCTCTGTAATGAGGTATAACCCTAACTCTCTGTATTGAGGTATAACCCTAACTCTCTGTATTGAGGTATAACTCTCTGTATTAAGGTATAACTCTCTGTATTGATGTATAAAACCCCTGTATTCAGATGTAACTCTGAGACATAATCATGTGTTTGCAGGGTGGTGGTGGTGGACAGTGGGGATTTTATATCTGTCTTCATGTCATGTCCTTGCCTCTAACTGTCAAAACAACATGCAAGGGCAGCCAAGCGTGACTCCAAGGAATCCATTCTGCAGTGCGAACACACATTTAACAGGCCGTCATTTCTGGTATGCTGTGCCTTCTACTTGACAWATGAGTATTAGGGACTATAAACAGCACAGAAACTGGACAAGACTGAATTTCTCAGTAAAACAGGACAAGAAGCTGTTTTTCTAATTAGTTGCACTTTTTTCTGTGTGTTTGTGTATTTCTGGACACTTTGTTCACCTTCTAACGTCTGTAAATGACATACTAGTGTAAAAATGTTTTCTTTAATTAAAGTTTCATTAATATGAAAATTTTGAGAAACATTTTGTGTCATTTACAAAGAACAGAGGAGGAACTCAAAACCAAGAGTCGTAAGTGAAGAGAAGTTGAGTTTTAAAGGAAAATAAATTGATTAGTTGTGTTTTTGGTGTTAAATACAGGAAGAAGATGTTTGTGTAATTAAACCAAACACCAACAGATGGAGAGTAGAGGCAGGTTGTGGTTTTACTGCACAAGTCGAGATGAGCCGTTTCCCTTCTTTTCAGGGTTTGTTTGAACATTTTTCATTGAAAGAGCCACACATTTTCCATTTTATAACGAAGACAGAGAAATGTTTTACACTGTGATTTTATTGTGTTTGAGACGAACCGTAAAACTATTTGAAAACAAATGTTATTTGTTGTTTTGTTTCGCTGTTTTTAGTTTTTAATTTATTGTTTGAGTTGCTCAAAAAACATTTTTCATTAAATTACGTCAACAGGTTCTACTCAGCTGAACTGAGTAAATTTAACATATTTTTTTAACGTTTATTTAAAGGTGAATGTGACGTAAATGTGTTTTATTTACTAAATTCATTTGAGTAGAACCTGTTGACATAATTTATTTAAAGAAATCCAACGCAAATGTTTTTAAGTTGTCATTTCAAGACTTATTGCAGACAATTAGATTCTCATTTCTTTCAAAAAAACTTGAATGAAAATAAATGGTTTAGTTTTATTTTAAACTTGAAACAGATTCAGAGCTGCAGATTTCACACAAATAATAATAAACAGGTAAAGATTTTGTAAATTTCTGCATGTAGACTTTCAATAAATACAAAATAATGCGATAAAATAATAAAATCGGTGTAAAAAAGACATAAAAAGAAGCATAAAATGTTATTTTTTCCCCAAAAAACTTGAATTTTTTTTGTTTAACCAAYCTATTTATTGCAGAACGTTTTCTGTTTCTGAGTATTTATTCAGTTTTTATCAGTTTTCAGCTCCTGTTCTTCCTGTTATTCTCAGGTTGTTTTCTAATCTGGAACAGTTTGGGGGATTTTCTGTTTTATTTTCTGAATATAATCTGGAYCAGGACCACTCCGCTCCGCTGCAGCTTCTTTTCGTCAACATTTATCATTTCAAAGAATTGTTTTTGTCTCCGGCGCGACGAGTTTCCACGCGCGCGCGCGCGGGTGTGAAGACACTTGGCGGCTGACGCCGGCAGGGTTTCCCCTCAGCRGCGTCTTTACTGGAGATGGGCCGCCGTGCGCGCGCGCTGATGAGCTGGGGGACGCGGGGACGCGCACGCGGCAGGTGCGTCCTCCTCCTCAGCATCCCTCTCTTGTCTCCGCCCCCTCCTCTGACGCGCTGGGAGGATTTAAGCGCGCGGCGGCGGTTTGATGAGAGCTTTTCTGACTGACAGGTTTCAAAACTCGACGAGTTTCGAGTTTCAGACAAAGAAAGGAGCCGAAGAAGATTCGTCTGCGTGGGACTAGAAGTGTCTCAGTTCACAGCTCGCCACGTGAGCGCGCGGTTCAGAGATGAACTCCGAGCTGGACTACGGAGGCTCCGGGAGCAGCGGCAACGGGAAGCTGCGCCAGTGGCTGATCGAGCAGGTGGACTGCGGGAAGTACCCGGGTCTGGTGTGGGAGAACGACGAGAAGAGCATCTTCAGGATCCCGTGGAAACACGCGGGGAAACAGGACTACAACCGGGACGAGGACGCCGCGCTTTTCAAGGTAAGAGACGGAGGATGGAGACGTGCCGTGCGTAAAGACGCACAGGACAGGGCGACTTGTGACGTCCATAACTAGTTTATTTCACCTCTAAACATTCAGATTCAAGAAAAAATATATTTAAACTGTTTTTTGTTTTTATATTTAAGAGTGAATTTAGTTTGTGGAGCAGTCTGCTCAATTATTTGGCATGCCCAGAAATATTCACTTAAAACCAGAGCTGTAAAGTAACTAAATACAAATACTTTGTTACTGTACTTCAGTAGAAATTCTGGTTATCTATGCTTTACTTGAGTAATTATTTCTCAGCGTACTTTTTATTTTTACTCCCTACATTTTTACACAGTTATCTGTACTTTCTACTCACTACATTTGTTAAAAAGGTAAGAAGTAGAAAGTCGTTACTCCTGTTTTATTCTGAGTTATTATTTAAAAAATCCTCTCCTGATAAACTGTGTCTCCTATAGAGTGAATTTAATTGTGTTTGGATGAGAAGTATAAATATATACCATTCTGACACACTATTA